AACCAGCAGAGAAAAAAGGTGGAATATAGAATTCTTTCTCAATCCATTTGAGTGTAGGAAAGAGACACAAAAACACAGAAAAATAAAAATGAACAGTGATATACAAGTCAATATATATCAGAAATCAGAACAAATGTAAACAAATAAAATTTAACTATTAAAAGGTTAGGATTTTAAAAAAAGATCAGAGAAGATTAGAAGAAGCTAAGTGTTGTTAAAAGAGGCATAAAACAAAGCTGCAAAAATGGGCTTAATGTAGAAGGAGTAAAAAGCATCAAAAGTTCACGTTACACTATCAGCACCCAGAAAAAGATATTTTAATATCAAAAGCACTAGGAGGGATAAAGAGAAACACAGTATAACAATAAATGGAAAAAATTCATTAGGTTATACCGTCATGAATACCCTCAAAATATTGAAAGTAAAACAATAGAACGGTGAGGAGTCAAATACACAGACAGTCAGGTGGGGGAGTTTACCACACCTAAATACAAACCTGATGGAACAAATATAGCCTAATTTAGAAGACACAAGAATTAAACAAAAAAGTTGTACTTAATAAGACTATGTATATGGGAAGAAACCAGACCCCAACAAATAGTTCAAGCGTACAATTTTTAAGTGGCACAGAACATTCACAAAGATTGATTGTAAATTAGGATACAAAGGAACCTTCAATAAATTCTAAAGAATTGATGAGGTCAGTCTGTTAAAACTCACCCAGTCATACCTTAACAGTGATAAATGCTATTATATGAAATTATAGGTCAATAAAACTGATTAGAAAAGTAAAAATTGGCAAGATCTATTTACAAAAGTTAAAACTTTGTTGAAGAACATAAAAGATGATCTGAATAAATGAAGAGCTCAAGCTCCTTGTAAAGACCTCAACTCTACCCAAACTAATCTCCAAATTCACTATATTTTCAAAGTTCCAATGCAGTTGTGGAGGTATTGGGAGGAAATACTGATTGATTCTAAAATTTATGCACAATGAGTGAGCCAGATTTGCCAGACTTCTGAAATCTCCTTTTCTGTTGCTCCTCACTATATTTTTTGTTTTTCTTTGAAAAAAAAAAATATATATATATAACAAGTAGGAATATAAAATTTCACTTTAAAACATTATAATTAAACCAACTTGGTACCACATTAAAACTAAATAGACCAGCATCTCAGAGTAGAATCAGACACAGATCCATGAACATGAGAAAAGATGCAAAAGGGCATTCAAATCATGAAGCAAATAGTGTTGGCATCCACTGGCACATAAAAAGATGTTCAACATCACTGATCTTCAGAGAAATGCAAATCGAAACCACCTCGCACCTGTCAGAATGGCTCTCATCAGAAAAAACACAAATAGCAAGGTGAGCAAAAGCACAGAGAAAGGGGAACTTCACACGCGATTACAGGAAGGTAAGTTGGTGCAGCCACTGTAGAAAACAGTATGGGGGTTTCTCAGAAAACTAAGCACAGAATTATCACATGACACAGCAGTCCCACTCCTGAACGTATAGCCCAAAAACACAAAAACTAATTTGAAAAGATACATGTACCCTAATATTCATAGCAGCATTTTTATAATTGCCAAGAAATGGAAGCAGTGTACGTGTCCATCAAGAGACGAATGGGAAAAGAAGATGTGGTATATAGATAGATATATAGATAGAGATAGATATGGAATATTACTAAGCCATAAAAAAGAATGAACATTTTTCCATTTGTGTCAACATGGATGGATTTGAAGGAAATTATGCTAAGTGAAATAAGTCAGATAGAGAAAGGCAAATGCTGTATAATATAACTTCCATTTGGAATCTTAAAAATAACAACAAACTAGTGAATGTAACAAAAATGATGCAGACTCACAGATATAGAGAATAAACTAATGCTTACCAGTGAGGAGAATTAAGAGGGGAGGGGCAAATTAGGAGCAGAGAATTAAGAGGTATAAACTAAAAAAAAAAACTAAAAAAAAAAAAAAAAGAGGTATAAACTATTGGGTATACAATAAGCTATAAGAATATATTGTACATCTTGGGGAATAAGCAAATATTTTATAATAACTATAAATGGAGTATAACCTTCAAAATTATATACCTATAACATATAATATTGTACATTAGCATATTTCAATTTTTTAAAAAGTTGGTGTGATTCCTCGTAGTTACTATTTCACATCACACACAAAGAGGTGAGTCTTTTGTAAATAATAGATTTAAACATTTAAAAATATTAAGTACTTCAAATATTTTAGAAGTATATGTAAGTATTTTTAAAATTTCAAGTTGGAAAATGTCTTTGTATATTGTAAACAAAACCTAGAAGGCATAAAGGAAAATCCTGATAGATCTTACTATATAATTTCTCTAGGACAAAATATGTTATAAACAAACCTAAGACAATAACATCAAATGAAATAAAATACTAACAGTATACATAGGCAAAGTTTAATGTATATACAAATATTCTTATGTTTATTCAGTATGGTTTAAAAAAAAATAGCAATACTGGTAAGGCATACACACTATCCATTTTTAGAAGAAGGAAAACAAATAACCAATAACAAATGAAAAATGCTCAACTGCAATAAAAATGAGAGCAATGCAAATTAAAGCAGAATAAAATAAAACTTTTTACAGTTAAGTTGGCAAAATGTTAAATGTTTATAATCTCTCATGCATGATATACTGATTTAAAGTAAGGGAAATGTAACAGTATAAATAGATTTATGTTAGTATATAATGTGTTAGTATATATATAATATATACTATATATAGTATTATATATAGTATATAATATAGTGTTAGTATATAGTATATATATATATAGTATATAATATAATGTGTTAGTATATGATGCAAATATCTCAATACATGCATAGAGAAATCTGGAAAGATACACATCAATCAAAATTTATACAGATCATATATTTAAAAATTTTGAAAACAATAAGATTTGAAAAACTATAAATTGCTATTTTAAAAAATTGTAACCTAATGATATAAAGGTGAAACTCGGGGTTTTTGTTTGTTTCTGTTTTGTCTTATGAAAAGTATTAGTTCTCTATTGTTACTATTATAAATTGCCATAAACTTCATGGCTTAAAGCAATGCAAGTGTGTTATCTTGCAGTTTGGAAGACCAGGAATCTGACACAAGTCTCACTGATCTAAGATCAAGGCGTCTAGGGGCTTTGTTTCTTTCTGGAAGCTGTAGGGGATATTTGATTTCTTTACCTTTTCAAGTTTCTGAAGGCTGCCCACAGTTCTTGACTCATTGCTCCCTGCCTTATTCTCCAAAGCCTGTCACACTGTATCTCCTTTGATCATTATTCTATAGTCACATCTCCCTCTCTCCATAGCAGGAAAAGTTTTCTGATTTTAAGGACCCATGTGACTTGATTGGGGCCACCCAGATAATCTAGAAAAATCTCCCCATCTCAAAATCCTTTAACTTAATCACACCACCAGTGTGTCTTCTGCCAGGTAAAGTAACAGATTACAGGCTCTAAGGACTAGAACAAGGACCTCTGTTTCTGTTGGTATAAATGTCTTAAGAATCTTCTATATCTCCCATGTATGTCATGAGGATCTCGTCTATTAGACGAGAGTCTCCTCCACAGACCTTTCTTGTAGACTCATATCCATTTTTCACTTCTGCTGAGATGGCTGAGGGTATCTATGGGTCACAAACTTAATCTCTTTGAAGAACAATTTGTGTGACTCAGTACTTTGATGTCTCACTACTTCTGGGACATTCGCAAAAAGTTAAACAGAGACACTCCTGGTTGTCCCTGCAGAGCAGTGATTTCCTGCTTTCCTGACACTGACTCTCCTAACTAGCAATTTCGCAATCTGAATAGGCTAAAAAATTTTTAAATCATCAAGTCCTGATTCCTTTTGTTTAGCAGCTCTTGCCTTGACTTACCTCTTTCCTTTCGTAGTTTACGCTAAGCAGCAACATGAAACCAGTTGCACCTTTATCATAGTAATTAGAAATCTCCTTAGCTATGTATCAAAAAAATTCTGCTTTCCACATAACTGCAGGACTTAATTTTGCTGAGCTTTCTGCCACTAAATAGTAAGGATCCCCTTTCCTTTTATTTTCAAAAACATGTTCCTTATTTCCTTTATGACAACTTTAGCCTCTATATTACTACTAACAGCCTTTTCATAACGATTTACATATTCTCTAAAATGACATAGATTTTTCCTACCATACTCTTCACTTTCAAGTCCTCACAAGCAGTCTTTAGCACCACATTTCTACTAACTGTTCAAGGCAATCTAGACATTTTTTATCATTCTACTTAAAATTCTTATTACCCAAATTCCCTCTGCCCATTGCCCAAATTCAAAGCCACTTCCACATTTTTAGGAATGAATTATGGCTGCTTCCCACTTCCAATAACCAAAATCCATATTACTCTTTTACTGGTACCACAGCAAATGACCACAAATTTACGGGCTTAAAACAGTTCATTATCTTATAGTTATGTTGGTTAGAAGCCTGACAAGGGTCACTCTGGGCTAAAATCAAGGTTTCACAGGGCTTCATTCCTGTCTGGAGGCTGGAGAGGGAAATTTCTTTCCTTTCTTTTTTTCACTTTCTGTTAACAGAAGCCATCAATATTCCTTACTCTTTCCTTCCATCTGCAAAGCTGGCAATATTGCATCTCTTTGTGACTATCTTCCATAATCACTTCTTCCTCTCTTTACAGTCAGGAACAGTTCTTCATATTTTAAGGCCCACTTGATGATACTGAGTGCACCCAGAAAATGCAGGATAATCTCCACTGCCAAGATCCTTATCTTAATCATATGTATAAAATCCTTTTTGCCATGTAAGATAACAGATTACAGGTTCCAGAGATTAGGATATAGACACGTTTATGGAGTTTTCATATTATTAACACATTATTATATAATAATAATGAAACTGGCATTAAAAACTCATTTTAATATCAAAAGCAAATAAAATTGCATGCATTCTTACTTCTTCTCCTCTTGAGTTTTCTCACAGTAGAGTTCTTCCCAAGATCCGCCATATCTAGAAAAAAATACATGGTATGGAAACAAAAATAAATAAATAAAGGTTACAAATCTTAAGATGATTCATACTGCAGAAGGCTTGAATTTATAAAGATGTTTGGGTTATCATCTCTCTTTCTTTTTCTTTTTTTCTTTTAAAGTTATGGAAGAGAATTTATTTCACTTTGTGAGGCTTTACTTTCACAATTATACATACCCTTGGTACAGGAAGACCCTATCAAAATTCTATTAATTGCCTTAAGGTAAATAGGTTGATTTTATGAGACTTTCAGACAATTAAGTTTGAGAAAGTTTATGATTATCAGGATTTGTATACATGATCACAATCAAAACAAAGAGATAAGCCAAAGAACAAGAGTTTCTTAACCCCCCTGAAAACACAATAAATTACAATTTCTGGTCAAATGTTATTCCTATGCTATATTCATTTTGATCTCATTTTCCATTTTATACTCCATCATTTTCTGAATACAGGAATACAGGTTACATATAATGCTATGTGTTAACTCCCTAGTCTTAATATCACAAAGTCAACTGTTTTACCATGGGTATATTTTTATCATTTAGAGTAGGATATGCTTGTTAATAAGCCAGTTATGCTCCAGTAACTTTGTAAATGCAAAAACACTGAGAAGTAAGAACAAATAATGGAGTTATTATTTCATGGATCCTCATTCAAGTTTAGGAAAATTACTTCCAGAAAGCTGCAATTCTGCCAAATATATTGTTTAAACAGAAACTGAAAGAAAAGTGAAATTACTGGAAGCCTTTGACGGTTCACTGGACATTGTGTGCTTTCAATAGTTCAACACTGTTATGCTTGATAATCAAAAGTAAATTATTAGGCTAACATTTTAAAATGTATACTTTAATTAAGGTATAAAGTATATAAACAATCAGGTAAACTTCTAGAGAAGCTGACCAAGATACATAAATTAGGAGATATAAGTGTCCATCTAAATTTTCTATACTTCATCTTTTTTTTTCTTTTTACAGCATATTTATTAAAGTTGTTTAATATACAATTTTTCATTTGTCATTCTGGAAGTCCTTTTTTAGAAAGACTCTTCTAAAAGAAGAGTTTCATTGTCCCTTCTCATTGCAGCCTCATTGTCAGTGATTATTCCAGACCTCCACGTTGGATAAATTAAATTTCTTCTTGAGAGATAAGTTTCCGTCTGTATTTCTGAGGTAAAGTTTTTATTTTCTCTGCAGTGTCTGGTGGACCCTGATGCATCAGCCAGTCTGGCAATTTACTTCCCTTAGAATGCTGCGAAATTGAGGAAGTATGAGATAGTAGTCCTGCTGATCGTAGAACTTCTGATACATTTGCTTTAGGATTGTCTCTTCTGTCAGGGAACCTTATTAATGGAGTATGTGGCTTGACTACCTGAACGACCCTGCTGGCAGACGCCATCTTGCTGCCCATCATGACCCCCGAGAAGGGGCAGCTTCCGGGGCGCTGGCGAGCCCTGGTTATAACAGGCGTCCCGCGCAGCTGGGGGCCTCATCTCTCTTTCTTGTAAAGGAATCAAACCTACTGAATTGAGACATCGGAGCCCGGGACCCTGGGTCTTCCATTGTTCCTTAATGGGACTTTGAAAAACATTCTTCAATATCTGTAAATTTCAGTTTACTCAGGGATGTTTGTCTAGTCCTTAAGAATTTTGTTAGGATGAAATAAGGCCTTATATGCAAAAGTGAATGGTATCACTATATAAACAAGTGACATGCTGGAGAATATTTATCAAACATATGTGCTTGGTTAAGAATAGTTGATCTGAAGTCTTTCCTTCTGACAATTAAGTGGCAGGACTAGCTATCTTTTGAGACCTTTCTAAGACTGTGACAAAATGACACTATTTTCTACTAATGGACATACACTTGACTTTCTTGGGTGACAGGGATAGAAATCACTGCAAATCACAAAACTTTGTTAGCAATATACTGATGTAATAAACAATAAACTGCCACTTTAAAGAGTGTGTTTCTCTTTGCAACACCATGGACTGTAGCCTGCCAGGCAAGCATACTGGAGTGGGTTGGCATTCCCTTCTCTGGGGGATCTTCCCAACATAGGGATCAAATCCATGTTGCCAGCATTGCAGGCAGATTCTTTACCATCTGAGTCACCAGGGAAGCCCAATTAGTACATCAACCATGTATAATCAACACAGGCCATCCCTTAAACACAATTTTATAATGATCTCTTGCTTTCCTGCTATTCCCAAAAGGATCAGGTCAAGCAAATGCAGAGATCAGGATACTGGGGTAGACTGGAAGCCACCCATATTCCTTATTCCTTCCTTCCATCTGCCACCACCCTACCTGGATCTGTGCTGCCAGTGGAGCCACCCCCACCTCACCGCCCTCAGGCAGCCTTACCTATCATGTCATCAGCTTGCGTACTTTCAGTTCTTCCTTCTGGACTTCTGGGCACATCTTTAGAGAAGCACATCACACAGGAGCACTTATTTCCAAACGTTGGTAGCTCTGTTCCTGGGCCAAAATCAAGGCTTATGAAGATTTTTTATTTCCCCAGTGATCCTCTTTTCTGAACCCCTTTTTGTTGATCTCCTTTTTTCTACTTCTTCCTCTGAAATCTTCCTTTGATGTTCCCCACATCTAACTCTTTCTTTAAGTCTTCCTGTTTCCCTTTATCTCTTTATCTTTACCAGAACTTTGTTTCTGCTTTTTTAAAATTCATAATTACTTTGGCCATCATAGGATAGTGGGCTAGAACTTAGCGCTTCCGAATCTTCTTCTGTATGCATTTGGAGAGCTTCTAGTCTGCTAGATACTGAAGGGAAACAAGAACATTACTGTCTACAGATCCTGAGATGTAATTAGGATAGAGTTCCTGGTGTTTTCATGTTGCACACTGATATTCTGAGCTAAGGTAAACTGCTTTCCGGAAAAAAAGTACACCTGCTCCAGTAATCTCACCTGAGGTCCAACAGAGCCATGTTTTTTCCCATCTTTTGTACCTCATCTGCTTTCTCTTTTGCCAACAAAGGTCCATCTAGTTAAGGCTGTGGTTTTCCCGGTAGTCATGTATGGATGTGAGAGCTGGACTATAAAGAAAGCTGAGCACTGAAGAATTGATGCTTTTGGACTGTGGTATTGGAGAAGACTCTAGAGAGTCCCTTGGACTGCAAGGAGATCCAACCAGTCCATCTTAAAGGAGATCAGTCCTGGGTGTTCATTAGAAGGACTGATGCTGAAGCTGAAACTCCAATACTTTGGCCAACTGATGCAAAGAGTTGACTCATTGGAAAAGACCCTGATGCTGGGAAAGATTGAAGGCAGGAGGAGAAGGGAACAACAGAGGATGAAATGGTTGGATGGCATCACCGACTCACTGGACATGAGTTTGAGTAAACCCTGGAAGTTGGTGATGGACAGGGAGGCCTGGAGTGCAGCAGTCCATAGGGTCACAGAGTCGGACACAACTGAGTGACTGAACTGGACTGAACTGCTTTCTCTACTTTTATTTTTCTACTTTAAGCTTTAAGAATAAGATTAAAAAAATCTTATCCTTCTGGGAAAAACTGTCTTGAAAATTGCAAACCGTAATTACCAGAACCAGTTTTAAATTTATCGCAATTGGCCAATGACTGTCTACATCACTAACCACAGTTAAAACCAGCCAATTAAGGGTGGCCTTACATTTATGAAAATCAGCCAATCAGCAACAGACACACTTCAGAAAGCCTGTGAGTGTGGCTAGATACTAACCACACTAGATATAACTAGATACTAGTTATAAACACTCCTATTTCTGAAAATCTGCTGTCCCTGAACTACATGCTTCCCAAAACTATAAATAAAAACACAGCATTGTAAATCTAATATACTGCAATAAAAATTAATTAAAAATAAATAAATAAAATTAGCAATTTTCTTTTTTGAAAGACACTGAGTCCCATAAGCACAGTGCCTCCTCTCACCATGTACTTTGCCAGCACAAGATATTGCATGATGACCTCTGCCTTCAAAAACAGCTCCGAGCAAGATCATCATAAAGACTTGTTTAGGGGTGTCTTTTGAGACCCTTGAACCAACAGGTACAAACCTACAGCTCTTGTGCATGACTCAGATTGTCTTCCTGATTCACTTCCAAGTGAAGCTGTCCCAAGAACAACTTGAGCTCTGACTTGTTTCTTTGAGGTTTTATAGAATTTATTTTAGTATTTAAAGATGTGTATGAAATTAGATGTGAAATCATTGGACCTTTCGGTTTGGCAGCACAGCATTTAACAAATATTCTGTCAATGTGCTTATTCTTCCACTACTTCATTTACTCATTTTTCTTTTGTCTATTTTTTTAAAAAGTCTTATATCATGTGTGTTTGTGTATTCCTGAGTTTCATGCTTTTTAATTATTAGAAGATAGTGATCCAAAGCAAATACATGGAGACACAGACTTGATAAACCCCAACCCATGCCAGCCCCAAAGACTAACTAATGGGTGGGGCTCCATTAGACCATAGCCAATTTGTGCAAATATATTTGGTCACATTCGTCTTGGGTCTCTCACCAAAACCTTCATGACGATATTTGACATTGTATTAATTTGTGAAAGAAAATCACTTTGTTTAGTACATAACTATTATCATGTAATTGATCATATGTTTTCTTTCTCATCTCTGTTTGGTTGATGAGTTCAATGCCTCACTTACAAGCAGGACACCATTCATACTTATGACTGGGTGTAGTGGCCTCTTTGTTTGTTATGGGTTTGTCTCTGCCAAAGTCACAAGCTCCCACTGGCAGAACTTTCACTTCCTCTTTGTACTCTCAGTATGAGAGTAACTCTTGCACGTAATAAACAGCAAATTTTCACAAAAGATATCTTTGGGTTTCAGTGGGGAATTTTTGGTATGTCAAAAGTAAATGACTAATTTAATATTTCCCTAAAAGAAACTCCTATAAATTTAATAGGTAGGGCTTTATCCTGCAAATGAAACTGTATTAAATGTATTAAGAAGTGCTAACTTCCACTGGAGAAGGGAATGGCAAACCACTTCAGTATTCTTGCCTTGAGAACCCCATGAACAGTATGAAAAGGCAAAAAGATAGGACACTGAAAGATGAACTCCCCAGGTCAGTAGGCACCCAATATGATACTGGAGATCAGTGGAGAAATAACTTAAGAAAGAATGAAGGGATGGTGCCAAAGCAAAAACAACACCCAGTTGTGGATGTGGCTGGTGATGGAAGNAATGTGGTCCACTGGAGAAGGGAATGGCAAACCACTTCAGTATTCTTGCCTTGAGAACCCCATGAACAGTATGAAAAGGCAAAAAGATAGGACACTGAAAGATGAACTCCCCAGGTCAGTAGGCACCCAATATGATACTGGAGATCAGTGGAGAAATAACTTAAGAAAGAATGAAGGGATGGTGCCAAAGCAAAAACAACACCCAGTTGTGGATGTGGCTGGTGATGGAAGCAAGGTCCGATGCTGTAAAGAGCAAGATTGCATAGGAACCTGGAATGTTAAGTCCATGAACCAAGGCAAATTGGAAGTGGTCAAACAGGAGATGGCAAGAGTGAATGTCGACATTCGAGGAATCAGCAAACTAAAATGGACTGGAATGGGTGAATTTAACTCAGATGACCATTATATCTACTACTGTGGACAGGAATCCCTTAGAAGAAATGGAGTAGCCATCATGGTCAACAAAAGAGTCCGAAATGCAGTACTTGGATGCAATCTCAAAAACAACAGAATGATCTCTGTTTGTTTCCAAGGCAAACCATTCAATATCACGGTAATCCAAGCCTATGCCCTAACCAGTAATGCTGAAGAAGCTGAAGTTGAACAGTTCTTTGAAGACTTACAAGACCTTTTGGAACTAACACCCAAAAAAAGATGTCCTTTTCATTATAGGGGACTTGAATGCAAAAGTAGGAAGTCAAGAAACACCTGGAGTAACGGGCAAGTTTGGCCTTGGAGTACAGAATGAAGCAGGGCAAAGGCTACTAGAGTTTTGCCAAGAGAATGCATTGGTCATAGCAAACACCCTCTTCCAACAACACATGAGAAGACTCTACACGTGGACATCACCAGATGGCCAACACACTCAGTTGTGTCCAACTCTTTGTGACTCCATGGACTGCAGTACACCAGGCATCCCTGTCCATCACCAACTCCCAGAGCTTGTTCAAATCCATGTCCATCGAGTCAGTGATGCCATCCAACCATATCATTCTCTGTCATCCCCTTCTCCTCCCACTTTCAATCTTTCTCAGCATCAGGGTCTTCTCCATGGGGCAGTTCTTCATATCAGGTGGCCAAAGTATTGGAGTTTTAGCTTCAACATCAGTCCTTCCAATGAATATTCAGGAATTATTTCCTTTAGGATGGACTGGTTGGCTCTCCTTGCAGTACAAGTGACTCTCAAGAGTCTTCTCCAACACCACAGTTCAAAAGCATCAATTCTTCGGCACTCAGCTTTCTTTATAGTCCAACTCTCACATCCATACATGCCTACTGGAAAACCATAGCTAGACAGACCTTCATTGACAAAGTAATGTCTCTGCTTTTTAACATGCTGTTTAGGCTGGTCATAGCTTTTCTTCCAAGAAGCAAGTGTCTTTTAATTTCATGTCAGCGGTCACCACCTGCAGTGATTTTGGAGCCCCCAAAAACACTGTTTCCATTGTTTCCCAATCTATTTGCCATGAAATGATGGGACCAGATGCCATGATCTTAGCTTTCTGAATGTTGAGTTTTAAGCCAACTTTTTCACTGTCTTCTTTCACTTTCATCAAGAGGCTCTTTAGTTGTTCACTTTCTGCCATAAGGGTGGTGTCATCTGCATATCTGAGGTTATTGATATTTCTCCCAGCAATCTTGATTCCAGCTTGTGCTTCATCCAGCCCAGCATTTCTCATGATGTACTCTGCATATAAGTTAAATAAGCAGGGTGACAATATATAGCCTTGATGTACTCCTTTCCCTATTTGAAACCAGTCTGTTGTTCCATGTCCAGTTCTAACTGTTACTTCTTGACCTGCATACAGACTTCTCAAGAGGCAGGTCATGTGGTCTGGTATTCCCATCTCTAGAAGAATTTTCCACAGTTTATTGTGATCCACATGGTCGAAGGCTTTGGCGTAGTCAATAAAGCAGAAGTAGATGTGTTTTTGGAACTCTCTTGCTTTTTTGATGATCCAATGGATGTTGGCAATTTGTTCTCTGGTTCCTCTGCCTTTCCTAAATCCAGCTTGAACATCTGGAAGTTCACTTCCTTACTAAATCATGACCTAATATTATTTGGTGATAAATATTATCTCTAAAATAAAATAAAATTGAGACAAGAGATAATAGAGAAAAATAAGATACCAGGCTGGTTATGCAATGACTGCTTCAGATTTCCTTGTAGAGTTCATTCCCTTACAGAAAGCAAAATTATCTCAAGTAACTGAACGCAGAACCTTCTCTGTGGTTGTGGTTGTTGTTTTAAGTCTCTAAGTCATGTCCAACTCTTTGCGACCCCTTGGACTGTAGTCCATGAGGGTCTTCTGTCCACAGGATTTTCCAGGCAAGAATAATGGAGTGTTTTTCCAGTTCCTCCTCTAGGGGATCTGCCCAAACCAGGGATTGAACCCATGTCTCCTTTCCATGTGGCACCTCGTATTTCTTCTGTGTGCACATGTGAAGGGGAGTAGGGTAGGAAGGGAAATTGAAAGAGGGAGATCTTCCTCTCCATAGACAGAAAAGATTCAGTTAGTTAAATAGGAGTTGAAATTGTGAATACCTTCTCCATCAGATAGTGGTTGACTGGGAAGCTCGTCTTGTTCTTCTTTGTCAGTCATTTGGGAAGCTTCAGGATCACATGATACTGAAAAGAAATGAGGAATGGTATAGAGGAATTTATTTCCATGCAGGAATAGAGATACAGATATACAGAATGGACTTGTGGACACAGGGATAGGGAAGGGGGAGGTTGGACTAATTGGGAGATAAGTATTGACCCGGATATACTACCATGTGTAAAATAGATAGTGGGAAGGTGCTATATAACACAGCTCAGCTGTGTGATGACCTAGGCTGATGGTGGGATGGTGGGAGGTGGACATGGAATGGGTGTTAGAGAGGGGATATATGTATACATATGACTAATTCACTTCATTGTACAACAGAGACTAACACAACATTGTAAAGAAATTATACTCCACTTTAAAAAAAAAGAAGGAAATGAGCTGAGCTAGGATGTTCAGAGCACAGGTGAGCTGCCCTTTGGGAGAAAGGACATCTGCTCCAAGGACCACACCTGAGATCCAACGAAGCCTGTTCTGCCTCTGTTTCCACTTTATTCACCTCATTCTCCTGCCCTCTGCTTCTCAGTTTCCTATCAAAAGACCTGCCTCTAAACATTTCTGCTTCTGCACTAGGAGAATAATTGTGTACAATTATAAAGATGTATCTTTGATTTTGTGTGCTCTACCCTCCCCCAGCATCCCCTATCTTTATGTTTTTTCCTCAATGATGATCTTGAATTCTCATTTTTTGCTTATTCTCTCCAGCTGTATTCCTCTAGGTCTCTCAAATCCTATTGTCGTCGTTTAGTCGCCAAGTCATGTCCAAGTTTTTTTATCCCATGGGCTATAGCCCACAGTCTCCTCTGTCCATGTGGTTTTTCAGGCAAGAGTACTGGAATGGGTTGCCATTTCTTTCTCCAAGAGGTCTTTCCAGCTCAGAGATCAAACCTACGTCTCCTGAATTAGCAGGTGAATTCTTTACCACCGAGCCACAGGGGAAGCCCCCAAACTCTGTAGCAGGATTCATTTCTTGCCTCACTCTCTCTCTCTTAATCTCTTCCACTCCCCACTGACAGTCTTTATTTGAGAAGTGGAAGGCTCTCTGGTTCGGGCTCTGTTCTATTGCAATTGAGATGTTGCAGGTCTCCCTTTGGACTCCCATCATATGATGACACTGACTTCCTACAAGCCTCACACAGCCACCACCTGTATTGAGATACTCAGGACACTGGTCTTCACCCTTCCTCCTACTTTGATCTCAAGTGAAAAACAAATATTCTTTTTTTCTCTGCTTCTGTATTCTAATTGCTAAGGAAGGATAATAACAGTTTCCCTGGCTAAGAACTAAAATTTTGTGAGGAAATCTCACTTGCCAAAGTACTTTGAAAAAGAATAAAGCACTAGAAGTGAAAGTCACTCAGTCATGTTTGACTTTTTGTGACCCCATGGACTATACAGTCCATGGAATTCTCCCAGCCAGAATACTGGAATGGGTAGCCATTCCCTTCTCCAAGGGGTCTTCCCAATCCAGGGATCAAACCCAGGTCTCCACATTGCAGGCAGATTCTTTACCAGCTGAACCACAAGGGAAGACCAAGAATACTGGTGTGGGTAGCCTACCCCTTCTCCAGCGGATCTTCCTAACTTAGGAATCGAACCAGAGTCTCCTGCATTGTAGGTGGGTTCTTTACCAACTGAGCTATCAGGGAAGCCCAATAAAGCACTATATAATCCAATAATCTGATGAAGAATATGTGGCAAAAAATGCTTGTGGGTCTTTCTTTCTGACAAGTAGATCTCAAGGACCAAGTTTCTTTGGAAGTCTATCTAAAGTTATAACAATATAACTATTAAACACTAGATAAATACATACCTTTTATTCTTTATAGGAAATAAGAGGTGCACAGGAGTTAGAATCACAATATTGAGTCTTGAGTGTAAACAAGCATAAAGATTGTGGAGGAAAAACAGACTCTTTAGGACTGACTTCTACAACAGAGGACGAGATGGTGGGATGCCATCGCTGACTCAATGGACATGAGTTTAAGCAAGCTCCAGGAGATGGTGAAGGACAGGGAGGCCTGGCTTGCTGCAGTCCATGGGGTCACACAGAGTTGGAGACAAGTGAGTGACTCAACAACAACTCCAACATGAGGAGGGAACCAGGGTTGTGCTATTCAGCTTTGAATTCAGACATCTGACAGCCTGCAGATCAGGCCTGACAATCCCCCTTCCTTACCTGGCTCACATCTTGGTGGGGAGATCGGGGCTTCCTGGGGCTCTTCTTTCTCACAGATCACATAACAGGCATTGTTATCCTCTGCAGAAAGGAGTGAAATCCCTCAGAGGTCTCAGTATACAACCAAGGGAAATCATGGCAAAAAAAAAACCCAAAACCTCATGGTGAAGACACAGGAAGCTCAATTCTCTCCTGGGTGGGGTTGTCCTTGTCCCAGACCATCTTGGTCTGCCCTTGGAGTTTCCCTGACCCGCAGGGTAACTCCCTCCCATCATTACCACCGGAGGCTGAGAACCAGCCACCATCTCCCGCACTCCCTACACATCCAATTCTCCTTCTCCTTCTTCCTCTTCCCGTTGACTCTGAATATTTTTCTGTCTCTGCCCTTGTTTCCTCTGCCAGTGTCTCTAGATGCTTCTCTTTGTTTTGGTGTGTGCTGTCTCCTCTGCTCCTTTTTTTTTTTTTCTTTCGGCCTTGACACTGCTTTTTATTGCCTTTCCCCATCCCATTCTTCCCTCCATTTTCACATGGACCACAGGGCCCAAAAGCTTCTCCTCATCAGCTTTAGTCTAAGAATCCTACATCACCTTTCTAAATCGCAAGCCTACTCATCATTCACAAAACTTATTTCCATGTTCCTAGGACTTCCAGAAGGAAGGTGAAAACGATTTCCTTGCCTCAGTGGCCATAACCTGCTGACAACTGGATTTTTATATGCACTTAAAGTCACCCAAGTTCTATCCCTGGTCGGGAAGATCCCCTGAAGAACGAAATGACAACCCACTCCGGTATTCTTGCCTGGAAAATTCCATAGACAGAAGAGCCTGGCAGGCTACAGTCCATGGGGTTGCAAAGAGTTGGACATGACTGAGCACACGAACACACACACACACACACACACACACAGAGTCATCCAGGCACTACTTCGGGACCCCTGCCCACCTCTGGCACATGCTATCTCCCTACCTTCTCCACCCAGGGGTGCTCTCCCCACTCAGCTCCACTCACCTTTATCCTTAGTATCTCTCACAGTTTGGGGGAAAACAAAAAAGAAAATCGACACAATTTCTTGTGTATGTATGTGAATATGAAGAAGAGAATGGCAAGATGAGAGAAGGGGAGATTTTTTTCCCCATTTATTGAGGCAATTGGGAATTTAAAACGTAATTACCTCCTCCATCTGCTGGTAGTAGGCTGAGCACCTCCTCAGCTTTTCCTTCAGTAGGTATTTGGGGAGCTTTGGGATCACAGGTCACTGCAGAGAAACAAGGACCTGATGGACGTGGAGGGCGATCAGAGACAGACCTCAGCGGGCTCGTGCCGAGACGATGGGACAGTGATATGTCTGCTCCAAGCTCTGCTCCTGGGAGCCACAGGCTGTCTGTTTCTTTGCCATCTGCTGGCGCCCCTTCTTCTCTCTCCCTCTCAATGTCCTACCCGCAGTTCCACCTCCACGCAGCTCTGTTCCTAGATGTGCATCTATTTGATTGTCTGGGTTTCTCTCCTCATGTCTTGTTTTCATGTCTTGGGGTTTCCTGTTTCCTTGTTTTTCAGTGATAGTGTGTCTCTTTTCCTCTATTATCCATTCTAGTTTTCTTACGCAAAATCACTTAAAGTCCAAGTGGTTGGTCCATTTCCATGCTCCCTGTTTCTCAGTGATTTCCATTCCCTTCCCACCAGCATTACTCTTTCCTTAACTAAAACCTCCTGGACTCTGGTTCACTCCTTCAAGAACCTGCAGAACTCCCTGGGCTTCCTCTTCTTCTGACCACATGACCCCACCCTACTGCCAGCTGGCTTCGCACACCGCTGTCCTCAGGGACACACCCAGGATGCTGGTGCCCACCCTTCCTTTTCTACCTTGCCCTTGCAAAAATAACTGCCCTGCCTTTCGGTGCTTTATTTCTGCAGCCATAAAATAGAGGTTACGACAGTGTGCACACCTGTCTTTTGGTTTTGTGAAGGTAAGAGGAGGGCTTGCACAACCCAGTAATCTGGTGCAGAATGTAAGGAAATGGGCATACCTGGTTTCGCAACCTTATTCTCTTTCTCATTCTCACCCTTTTCATGAATCTCTGCTTCTTCTATTTCTACGTCAGTCAGTGTCTTGCTGTTGGAATGTCTTGCTATTTCCTTTGTCCTGATTTGTTTCTTTTCCCATGTCTGTTCCCACCTCCCTTTTCTCCTCCTTCCTTCCCTGATGCTGATCTTTACATCCTCGCCCCATCTCTCAAACTGCTGTTTTCTAAAACTAAGGGTCCGAAACGGTATCTCTGAGATGGTATATAACTTCCATGTGAGGGATTCCTTGGTGGTCCAGTGGTTAAGAATCCACCTTCTAATGCAGAGGATGTGGGTTTGATCCCTGGTCGAGGAACTAAGATCCGGCATGCCAAGGGGCCACTAAGCTCATGAGCTGCAACTACAGAGCCCACGCCCTCTGGAGTCTACAGGCCACAACTAGAAAGAAACCCAAACATTGCAATGAAGGTCCCACATGCCACAAGTAAGATCCAATGCACTCAAAAGTATATAAAGAACTAAGTAAATATAATTGGCATGTGGTTTCACCAATTAGTGAGCAGATTAGACAGTGGAATGGACCAAAAAAACTGCTCCCAGCACAGGGCTAAGTGTGTGGAAAAGGCTCAGATGAGAAAAATTCAACAAAGCTAAAATTACTGCAAAGTTTTACACGTACTTTAGAAGTCATTGCAGGAGAGGCACACATGAGACTGGAGCCATGGAAAGGAAAATAAGGGAAGGATTGACTCCTTATGACAACAGGAAGTACTGATTTAAGGTAGGCATGTGAGATAAGCCAACTTGCCTTTTCAAAGTGTCATCTAGGTGAGTTGGAGAGGATGATGTGGTGGGAGGATGATTAGGGGAAGGTGTGAGACTAGATAGAGATTGTTGCTCTGGCTCTGGTTCCAGAGAGAAGAGAGATCTGATGAGGGCTTTTGTGTTGAGAGAGGCAAGCAATGGACGAGCAGGAGACATGTTCAAGGTGTACCTGATCAAACTGGATGATTGTGGGTTGTGTGAATTGAAGGAGGGGGAGGAGACATTGAGGATCCCTAGGTGTTCGCCTAAAGAGCGGAACAGTAGGGTTTCATAATGAAACAAAGAACACCAGGAAAGGAGGCAGATGCAGTTTCAAGAAAGATGGTCCATGCAACTAAGGAAGTGTCTACCACTGAAGTTTCCCAAAACCATCCAGATGGAGCAGTCTCTCAGATCCCTGTTCAAATATATTCAGGCACTTAGATGAATGAGCTTAAAAGACAAGTCTGGGCCAGAGATAGGAATTTGGGGATCATCAAGTTATAGATGGAAGTAGACAAGAATGGCTGAGGAGAGACCCCTTGCCTCAGAGGCTATTACAGGTACCACTTTGATCATTGGGGTAATCTGAAATCAGTCCTGAATACTCATTGGAAGGACTGAAGCTGAAACTCCAATACTTTGGCCACCTGATATGAACTTTCTTATGGGAAATGACCCTGATGCTGGGAAAGACTGAAGACAGGAGGAGGAGGGGAAAACAGAGGATGAGATGGTTGAGTGGCATCACCAACTCGATGGTCATGAGTTTGAACAAGCTCTGGGAGTTGGTGATGGACAGGGAAGCCTGGCTGCAGTCCGTGGGGTTGCAAAGAGTTGGACACGACTGAGTGACTGAACTGAACTGAAGTGAAAACTCATTGCTAACACGTCCAACTCCTAGTTTTAGAAGTTGCCTCCATGCAGCAACGCTTCTTTCAGTTCCCACAACGTCCCCAGCTGTCTTCTCCATCCCTTGTACATGGTTTTCCCTCTCTACAGACGTTTCACTCATTTTCCTTTATCTTTTTCTCTATGTATAACTGTCATGCTTTTCTCCACTCTTTCTACTTCTTAGCACTTTCCCTTTTAAGGTCTTTCTCTTCATATCACTTTCTCTACCTTTTAAACTCTGTACCTTGTTTGATTACTGAGTTTAACTCCTTTCTTCTGGGGAACTCATTTCCTTGCTTCTATCTCTTCTCTCTAATTGTTAACTTTCTGTTTGCAATGTTTCCACCTAAAATTTAAATCTAAAAGTCAAAATTCCAGCCTTTCTGTTTACTTTGTCCATCTCACACATTCCTCATCCATATTGTCAAAGTTCTCATCTTCTGCCACTGAAAAATGAGCAGGAATCTTTCCTTCCCTTTGGCAGGCTAATTTCAAAAGTCTTTCACATGAATTTTCTGTATTATGATTATTCTCACTATGTCCATGTTCTTGGGACAATCTTAGCAAAAGCAGGTTGAAAATTATCTCCCTTCCCTGATAGCATATTGCAGCCTGGTTCTATTTAGATTTCATATCCATTTATTTCTTAATTATTATTGGAGTATAGTTGATTTAAAATATTGTATTAGTTTATGGTACCCAGGAAAGTGAATCAGTTATACATATACATATATCCACTCTTTTTTAAGATTCTTTTTCCATATAGGTCATAACAAAGTATTGAGTAGAGTTCTCTGTGCTATACAATAGATTCTTATTAGTTATCTATTTTATATATGGTAGGTGGCTCTAGTGGTAAAGAATCTGCCATTCAGGAGACATAAGAGATGAGGATTAGATCCTTGGGTTGGGAATCCGCTCCTGTAGTCTTGCCTGGAAAATTCTATGGTATACAGTATATGAGCCTAGCGGGCTACAGTCCATGGGGTTACAAAGAGTCGGACACAAATGAGTGACTGAGCACACACACATATATCAATCCCAATCTCCCAATTCCCTGTGTGAGGCTGAGCCTCACATGGCCACTACCTGCAATGAGATACTCAGGACACAGGTGAGTCTTTGTCCTTCCTTCTAGTTTGATCTCAGGGAAAAACAAGTATCATTTCTATGTTTCCATATCCTAATCTCTAAGGAGAAATAATAACTGTTTCCCTGGCTAAGTCCTAAAGTTTTATAAGGAAATCGTGTTTGCCAAAGTACTTAGAAAAGAATAAAGCACTATATAATCCAATAGCTTGATTAAAAAAAAATATGTGGCAATAACTGTCTTGTGAGATTTTGGGTCATTGGTTTTTCTTTCTGACAAGTAGATCTCAAGGACCGTTTTCCTCTGGAAGCCTATCCAATGTTATGAAAATATATTACTAGTAGTATTATTGTTAAATACTAGATAAATATCTATCTTTATTCTTCATAGGAATAAAGGGTACTCAAGAGTTAAAACCACAATATCAAATCTTTAGTGTAACTAAACATAAAGATTGTGGAGGATAAAAGACTTTCTTTAGGACTGGCCTACTACAACATGGAGAAGGAAATGGCAACCCACTCCAGTATTCTTGCCTGGAAAATTCCAAGGACTGAGGAGCCTGGTAGGCTACAGTCCGTGGGGCCACAAAAAAGTCGGACACGACTGAGCGACTCCACTCCACTATAACACGAGGGCTTCCCTGGTGGCTCAGATGGTAAAGAATCTGCCTCCAATGCAGAAGACCTGGTTCTATCTCAAGGTCAGGAACATCCCCTGGAGAAGGGAATGGCAACCCACTCCAGTATTCTTGCCTGTGGAATTCCATGGATAGAGGAGCCCAGTGGGCTACAGTCCATGGGTTTGCAAAGAGCTGGACAGGATGGAGTGACTAACATTTCACTTTAAGTGGGAACTCATCTGTTATAACCAGAGTCATGTTGTTCAGCTCTGAATTCAGACATCTGACAGCCTGCAGATCAGGGCTGACAATCCCCCTTCCTTACCTGGCTCACATCTTGATGGGGAGCTTGGGGCTTCCTGGGGCTCTTCTTCATCACAGATCACATAACAGGCATTGTTATCCTCTGCAGAAAGGAATGAAATCCCTCAGAGGTCTCAGTATACAACCAGGGGAAATCATGGCAAAAAAAAAAAAAAAAAACTCATGGTGAAGACATGGGAAACTCAGTTCTCTCCTGGGTGGGACTGTCTTTGTCCCAGATCATCTTCATCTGCCCTTGGAGTTTCCCTGACCTGCAGGGTAACTCCCTCCCATCATTACCACCGGAGCCTGAGAATCAGCCACCATCTCCTGCACTCCCAATACATCTAATTCTCTTTCTCCTTCTTCCTCTTCCCATTGACTCTGCATATTTTTCTGTCTCTGCCCTTGTTTCCTCTGCCAGTGTCTCTAGATGCTTCTCTTTGTTTTTGTGTGTGATGTTTCCTCTGCTCCTGTCTCTCTTTTTCTTTTCTTTCAGCCTTGACACTGCTTTTTATTGCCTTTCCCCATCCCATTTTTCCCTCCATCTTCCCATGGACCACAGGGCCAGAAAGCCTCCCCTTACCAGCTCTATTCTGAGAATCCTACACTACCTTTCTAAATCACAAGCCTGTCCATCATTCACAAAACTTATTTCCATGTTCCTAGGACTTCTATAAGGAAGCTGAAAGTGATCTCCTTGCCTTAATGGCCAAATTGGATTTTTTAAATTAATTTATTTATTTTGATTGGAGGATAATTACTTTGCAATATTGTGGTTGTTTTTGCCATGTGTCAATGTGAATTTTACATGCAGCTAAAGTCACCCAGGCACTTCTACTTCGGGACCCCAGTCCACCTTTGACACATCCTGTCTCCCTACCTTCTTCACCCAGGGGTGCTCTCCCCACTCAGCTTAGTTCACCTTTATCCTTAGTCTTGCTCAGTTCTGGGGAAAATAAGAGAAATTGACACAATTGCATGTGTATGTATGTGACTATGAAGAAGAGAGTGGCAAGATGAGAAAGGTGGAGGATGTTTTTTGTCCATTTACTGAAGCAGTTAGGAATTTAAATTATAATTATCTTCTCCCTCTGCTTGTAGTAGACTGAGCACCTTCTTGGGTTCTCCTTCAGGAGGCACTTGGGGAGCTTTGGGATCACGTCACTGTGGAGAAACAAGATCATAATGGACGTGGAGGGCAATCAGAGACAGACCTCAGGGCACTAGTGCCAACACGATGGGATGGCAACATGGCTGCTGCAAGCTCTGATCTGAGAGCCACACCATCTCCTTCTGTTTCTTTGCCATCTGCTTGCACCTCTTCTCCTTCTGTCTCCCTGTCAGCGTCCTACCCACAGTTCCACGATCACACAGCTCTGTTTTCTAGCTGTGCATCCATTTGATTGTTTGGGCTTCTTGTTTTCAGGTCTTGAGGTTTTTTTGTTTGTTTTTCAGTGATAGTGTATCTCTTTTCCCCTGTTATCCTTTCTACTTCTCTTCAAACACAAATGATTGAGTCCATTTCTATACTCCCCATCTCTCAGTGGTTTCCTTTTCCTCCCCACCGATATAAATTTATCCTTAACTAAAATTTTCTCCTGGACCCGAGTTCACTCCTTTAAGAACCTGCAGAACTCCTTGGGCTTCCTCTTCCTCTTCTGACCACCTGACCTCACTCTGACTGCCAGCTGGCTTTGCACACCACTGCCCTCAGGGACACACCCAGGATGCTGGTGCCCATTCTTCCTTTTCTACCTTGCCCTTGCAAAAATAACCTCCGTGCCTTTCTGTGCTTTATTTCCCCAGCCATAAAATAGTCATTATGACAATTTACACGCCTGTGCCTTACTGTCTCATTAAGGCAAGAGGAAAGCTTGCACAATCCAATAATCTAATGGAGACTCTAAGGGACCTTGCACACTTTGTCTCCCAACCTTATTCACTTTCTCATTTCCAGTCTTTCCGCACATCTCTGCTTCTATTTCTACCTCAGTATCTTGCTGTTGGAACCTCTTGGTACCTCTCTTTGTCCTGATTTGTTTCTTTTCTCATGTCTGTTTCCACCTGCCTTTTTCTCCCCCTTCCATCCTTGATGCTGATCTGTAGGTCCTCGCCCCATCTCTCAGACTGTTGCTTTCTAGAACTAGGGATCAGAGAAGGTATCTCTGACATGGTCTATGATTTCCCTGTAACTTCACCAGTTAGTGGGAAAACTGTTCCCAGCTTAGGACTAAGTGTGTACAAAGGCTCAAATGAGAAAATTCATCAAAATTTAAAGTACTGCAAACTTTTACATGAACTTTAGAGTCATTGCCGGAGAGGCACGCATGAGGCTGGAGCCATGGGAAGAAAAATAAGGGAAAGATTTAATCATTATGATGACAGGAATTATTGATTTAAGGTAAGCAAGTGGGATAAGCCAACTTGCCTTTTCAAAGGATCATCTAGGTGAGTTGAAGAGAATGGATGTGGTGGGAGGATGATGGGGGGAAGGTATGGACTTCCCTGGTGGCTCAGATGGTAAAGAATCTTCCTGCAATGCAGGACACCCAGGATTGATCCTTGGGTGGAGAAAATCCCCTGGAGAAGGGAAAGGCTACCCACTCCAGTACTCTGACCTGGAGAATGTCATGGACTCCATGAAATTCCATGGGGTCGCAAAAAGTTGGACACCACTGAGCAACTTTCACTTGCTCTTCTACATCTGTGACTCTATTTCTGCTGAGTAATTAAGTTCATGCTTTTAGATTCCACATATAAGTGATGTCGTATATTTGTCTTTCTCTGTCTGACTAACTTCACTCAGCAGGACAATCTCTAGGTCCTCCCGTGTTGCTGCAAATGTTTTTACTTTGCTCTTCTCTATGGCTGAGTAATATTCCATTGTATATAAGCCCCACATTTTCTTTATCCATTCATCTTTTGATGGACATTTAGGTTACTTCCATGTTCTGGCTATTGCAAATAGTGCTGCTATGAACATTGGTGTGTATGTATGTTTTTAAATTATGGTTTTCTCTGGATATATGCCCAGCAGTGGGATCATATAGCAACTTTATTTTTAGTGGGTTTTTTTTTTTTTTAAGGAACCTCCATACTGTTCTCCATAGTGGCTGTACCAATTAATTTTCAATTATATATTTGGATTTGTTGGGTCTTAGTTGTGGCATGCAAGATCTTTGTTGCATTATGCAGGATCTTTTTGTTGAGATTCACAGAACTGATTCATTGGAAAAGCTCTGATGCTGGGAAAGATTGAAGGCAGGAGGAGAAGGGGATGACAGAGGATGAGATAGTTGGATGGCATCACCGCCTCACTGGACATGAGTTTGAGCAAGCTCTGGGAGTTGGTGATGGACAGGGAAGCCTGGTGTGCTGCAGTCCCTGGGGTCACAAAGAGATAGACATGACAGAGCGACTGAACTGACTGACAGGTTCTCTAACTGTGGCACAAGAGCTCCAGACCACTTGGGCTCAGTAGGTGTAGCACGTAGGCTTATTTGCTCCATGGCATGTGAGATCTTAAGTTCCTTAGCCAGGGATCAAATCTGCATCCCCTATATCTCAAGACAGATTTTTAACCAGTCAACCACCAGGGAAGTCCCTCCAAGTGGCTATACCAACTTGCATTCCCACCAACACTGTAGGAGGGTTCTCTTTTCTCCACACCCTCTCCAGCATTTATTGTTTGTAGGCTTTTTGATGATGATGATTCTAATCAGAGTGATGTGACATCTCACTGTAGATTTGATTTGCATTTCTCTAATAATTAGCTATGTTGAGCACCAAATGTGTTTTTTTGACTATCTGTATGTTTCCTTTGGAGAAGTGTCTATTTATATCTTCCACCTATTTTATCATTGGGTTGTTCATGCTTTTGATATTGAGTTGCATCAACTGTTTGTATATTTTGAAGATAAATCCCTTGTCAGTTGCTTCATTTGCAAATATGTTCTCCCATTCTTAGGGTTGTCTTTTCGTTTTGTTTATGGTATCCATTGCTACACAAATACATTTATGTTTACTTAGGGCCCATCTAGTAGATATCATATTAAAAAGCAGAGACATTACTTTGCCAACAAAGGTCCATCTAGTCAAGGCTATGGTTTTTCCAGTGGTCGTGTATGGATGTGAGTTGGACGGTGAAGAAAGCTGAGTGCCGAAAAATTGATGCTTTTGAACTGTGGTGTTGGAGAAGACTCTTGAGAGTCCCTTGGACTGCAAGGAGATCCAACCAGTCCATCATAAAGGAGATCAGTCCTGGGTGTTCATTGGAAGAACTGATGCTGAAGCTGAATCTCCAATCCTTTGGCCAGCTGATGTGAAGTGCTGACTTATCTGAAAAAACCCTGGTGCTGGGAAAGATTGAGGGCAGGAGGAGAAGGGGATGACAGAGAATGAGATGGCTGGATGGCATCACCGACTCGATGGACATGAGTTTGAGTAAACCCAGGAGTTGGTGATGGACAGGGAGGTCTGGCGTGCTGTGATTCATGGGGTCGCAAAGAGTCGGACGCAACTGAGCAACTGAACTGAACTGAACTGAACATCTGTTAATTTTTAATTAATTTATTTATATTAATTGGAGGATAATTACTATACAATGTTGTGATGTTTTTTGCCATACATCAACATAAATCAGCCACAGGTATATATGTAGCCCCCACATCCTAACCCCTCTCCCAGCTTCCTCTCCACCCTGTCCCTCTGCATTGTCTCAGAGTGCTGGCTTTGGGTGCCTTGCTTCATGCATCAAACTTGCACTGGTCATCTATTTTACACATGGTAATGTACATGTTTACTTTTGTTTTTTATTTTCATTACTCTAGGAAATGGATCAAGAAAGATGTTGCTGGGATTTATGTCACACAGTGTTCTGCCTATGTTTTTCTCTAAGAGTCTTACAGTATCTGGCCTTACATTTAGGTCTTTAATCCATCCCTGTTTATTTTTTCATTCACTTCCTCTTTGTCTCTGCTATTCTTAGTATTTCATTAATCCTATGCAATCCTGGAAAGCAAGTTTATAATGACTGCTCTCCTCTAAACTCCAATTTGGTAGTATTTAGATTTCATATGTGCGTGCGTGCGTGCATGTGTGTTTAGTTGCTCACTCACATCTGACTCTTTGCAATCCCTTGGACTGTAGCTTGCCAGACTTCTCTTTCCATGGAATTTCCCAGGCAAGACTACTGGAGCGGGTTGCCATTTCCTAATCCAGGGGGTCTGCCCGACCCAGGGATTGAACCTGTGGCTTCTGTGGCTCCTGCATAGGCAGGCGTGTTCTTTACCACTGAACCACCTGGAAAGCCTTAGATTCCACAAACTTTTAAATAAAATTAGATCTACTTAGGCAACTCCATGTGGTGCCCTCAATCTACATTTTTATTATTCTGTGCCCTTAAATTCTCCACCCAGAAGACCCTCTATTAAGGCCATTAGCCCCTCTTTCCCCCTTGCCTCCCTTACATGGAAGAAAGCAATCAGAGGCCGAGTAAACAGGTGTATCTGTGTTTGGAGGGAGGAGGAACATGTTCCTTGCATACAGACATGTAAACAAATCAATGAGATCATTGGTCACTTAATTCAGTTCAGTTCAGTTCAGTCGCTCAGTCATGTCCGACTCTTTGCGACCCCATGAACTGCAGCACCCCAGGCCTCCCTGTCCATCACCAACTCCCAGAGTTTACTCAAACTTATGTCCACTGAGTTGGTGATGCCATCCAGCCATCTCATCCTCTGTCGTCCCCTTCTCCTCCTGCCCCCAATCCCTCCCAGCATCAGGGTCTTTTCCAATGAGTCAATTCTTCGCATGAGGTGGCCAAAATATTGGAGTTTCAGCTTCAGCATCAGTCCTTCCAATGAATACCCAGGACTGATCTCCTTTATGATGGACTGGTAGGATCTTCTTGCAGTCCAAGGGACTCTCAAGTGTCTTCTCCAACATCACAGTTCAAAAGCATCAATTCTTTGGCGCTCAGCTTTCTTTATAGTCCAACTCTCATATCCATACTTGACCACTGGAAAAATCATAGCCGTGACTAGACTGACCTTTGTTAGCAAAGTAATGTCTCTGCTTTTTAGTATGCTGTCTAGGTTGGTCATAACTTTCCTTCCAAGGAGTAAGCGTCTTTTAATTCATGGCTGCAATCACCATCTGCAGTGATTCTGGAGCCCAAAAAAGTAAAGTCAGCCACTGTTTCCACTGTTTCCCAGCTCCCCATTTACCTCGCTGCAGTTTGGGCATCTCTGCAGAATTGCCTTTGCTGGTCCTTTGGAGAGATTTGTGCTCAGAGGGACCTGAAGAGAAACACAGAAAAGACCAACCAGACAGTGTGATGGGGGAACAGACTATGGATGATGCTGAATTCTGATGTCCATTGCTCGGGTAAGCTTCTCCTTGGGAAAACAATACTGTTGTTCCAAAGACTTCACTTAAGACCCACTGGAGCCTTGCTTTGCCTGTTTGCCTTCTCTTTAGCCCCCAATCACCTTTCTCCTCATTTTTCTGTCCTCACACATGGTCATTTCTGTGCCATGAAGGATCACACACCTCCTTTACCCTCTGGGCTTTTTCTTTTTTGCCCTTCAACGTTCTTTATCAGTTTTCCCTACTCACGACAGTTTTTCTTTCTAGGTTTTAGCTGCCCTGACTCTCTGCCAGCCCTACACAACAGTCATCACTCTGAGCCATCGAGAATGCTGGTTCCTTAGCTTGTTTAACTTGTTTTGGACTGCCAAAAGACCCTTACACACTTCAGCGCTTCTATTTCCTTACCTATACAATAGGAATAAGTAACAACCTATCTGTTTACACCCATAACTTTGTGGAGATAAGAATGATACCTTGTTTGCCAATTCTTTGAAAAATAGTAGTCTATTTTGCCTTAGGTCTGTAACTGTATGATGGGGTTTTCTAACCGTCTAAAAGCTTTTAATTTACAAATGGTTGTCTAAGCTCCTACGAGTGCCACAGCCTCCTCCAACTATTACTTGGAGCCCCTGGATCAGAGACCCTCAATATGAGAGTTAGGAGATTATGTTGCCTCAACAATTTAGGGACCACGCCCCTAAACAGCAGGAAGTAGTTATGAAATGAAAACGCCACCGCTTTCCCTTGGCAACATAATTCTCCTAAAAGAAAAGGGAGGAATGAGAGAGTCATTTCCTAGGCAGGTTGATAAGAAGTCTAGGGGTCCCCAAGGAGAGATGGGTCTGGAATTCCCAAGGAGGAAGAAAGGACAAGCTTTTTTTCTTTCCTATACATTCCTTAGGATTATATAACAATAATGTATCCTGCCTAAGGACAGTCTCTGGATTAAACCTTCTGGCTAATCCTGTTATCTTAAAATGTAAATTATGGGAGTAGGTCTGGTCTTTACAAAGATTATATAACATAATGAATCCTGCCTAAAGAGTCTCTGGATTAAACCTTCTGGCTAATCCTGTTATCTAAAATGTGGGAGTAGGTCTTTACAAGGATTATATGACAATAATGTATCCTGCCTGAGGACAGTCTCCAGATTAAACCTTCTGGCTAATCCTGTTATCTTAAAATGTAAATTATGGGAGTAGGTCTGGTCTTTACAAAGATTATATAACATAATGAATCCTGCCTAAAGAGTCTCTGGATTAAACCTTCTGGCTAATCCTGTTATCTTAAAACGTAAATTATGGGAGTAGGTCTGGTGAGGTCTTTACAATCTCCAGACACTCTTCGGATTCATTGGAGACTATATAACTCCATTGCTAACACTAGCAAGTGGGTACTCTTTCTGCCCCCTTCTGATGTCTATGTCAGAAGCTTTCTCTATCCCTTTTATACTTTAATAAACTCTGTTGCACACACTCAAAAATAATAATAATAGTCACATAATAAATAATATTATTGGTTGACAAAAATTGTACTTTAAACTTGGAAGCAATTGATCTGGAGGACATGTTTCTTTTGGGGGGGGGGTTCCAAAGTTAGCATTATAGACAAACAAAATATATAAGCAAACAACATATAACAAAATAATAGTATTATAAGCAAACAGAAAAATACTGAGGTTTTATTGTCCAGAGAAGACACAGGGTAGATAGGTATTAATGCAAGTTTTTTGCCATTCATAGCTATGAGAGACATCCCTTTTCTCCAGCATATTGCTGGTAGGATGCACTAGGAACATTTGTGCTATTTGTTGTGTTACTTATGCTGTTATGGACTCATGGGATTCCAGGACACTTCAGATCTTTTGACTGTGGAGTACACTCAATAAACACCTGCTGTGAATTCAGCCACCTGACACCCTCGGCTGGCAGTTCCTCCCCATCCTTACCTGGCACACATCTTGGTGAGAAGCTCAAGGCTTCCTGGGGCCATTCTTCATCCCAGGCATTGCTGATCTCTGCAGAAAAGATTGCGATCCCACAAGCATTTCAATTTATGACCAAGGAAGAATCACAGCAAGAAAATAACTGGAAAATCAAGAAAGGCTGAGAAACTGGAAAGCCCTGCTCCCCAAAACAACCTGCCATGCCATGCCATATTGCACTCAAGTCATGTCCAGCTCTTTCACAACCCCATGGACTGTAGTAAACCAGGCTCCTCTGTCCATGAAAATTTCCAGGCAAGAATACTGGAGCAGGTTGCCATTCCCTTCTCCATGGGATCGTCCCGACCCAGGGATTGAACTAGTGTCTCTTGTGCTTCCTGCATTGACAGGCAGATTATTTAACCACTCCACCACCTAAGAAGAAAATAACCTGATCTGAAGGTTAACTTTGCTTCACCAGGTTTCACTAGGGGATGAGGAATTCACCCACTGTGGGACAATCTTCCTTTTCTTATACTGCATTTTCTTTCTATTTCTTTCCTTTCCATTGGATTCTGTGCATTTTATCCATCTCTGCCTCTGTTTCTTCCTGCTGGTATCTCTTGGACTGTCTCTTTCTCTTTTCCTGCAACTTTTTCTCTTGTTTCTCTGGTGCTGCTCCTTCTCTGCTATTCTTTGTCTCTCAACTGTTTTTTCCTAACTTTCTCTAGAAAAATGTCCCTGAGATAGTATGTCTTAAGTAGGCTTTAGCCAGAATGAGGTGGTTAACTGGAAGACAGTGGAACGTGAAAACAGTTCTTAATAAGGTAGAAAATATATGAAAAGGCTCAGATACAAAAGAGAGATTTATCAAGTAAAATTATTATGGGAGTAAGTCAGAGAAAGACAAATATCATATGATATGGCTTATATGTGGATCTAAAAAAAAAAAAATACCAACGAACTTATTTACAAAACAGAAACAGATTCATAGACATAGAAAACAAACTTATGGTTACAAAGGGGCTATGAGGGAGGGATAAATTAAGAGTTTGGGATTAATATATACACTCTATTGTATATCAAATAGTTAACAAGGACCTACTGTATAGCACAGGGAACCAAAACCAAATATCTTGTAATAATGTATAATTAAAGAACATGTAAAAAAGAATATATATAGATATAGATATAGAGATAGATATAGATATGGGCTTCCCTAGTGGATCAGTGGTAAAGAATCTGCCTGCAGTGCAGGAGACATGGGAGACCCAGGTTTGATCTCTGGGTTGGGAAGAATCCCTAGAGGAGAAAATGGCAACCCACTCCAATATTCTTGCCTGGAAAATCCCATGAACAGAGGAGCCTGGTAGGCTACAGTCCATGGGGTCACAGGAATCGGACACAGCTGAGAGACTGAACACACAGATAGATATGATTATCTGAATTAGCAAAGTGATTGGCCGAAACAAACTCAACATTGTAAATCAACTATATTTCCATAAAAATTTTTAAAATAAAAAAATACAAATTTAAAAAATAAAATTACTGGGGGAAAAAAGTTTATCCTATATTGAATTAACAGTGTAGGAGGCAGGTGATGAGGCTGTGAAAATAGACCTGGGGCTCACCTTGGATGATTGCGGATGCCACTCAGAGGAACATATATTTAATCCCTGGTGTATTAAGAAAGTATGTAGGAACACAATCTAATTTTCATTTTCAAATGTCTCATGTGGTTGAAGTAAAAATGACACATTTGATGGGAGTAAGGTTAGAGGAAAGTTATGAGTAGAGCCTGTTTTGAGAACCATGACAGAGATCTGGATTTGAGACTTGGGGTTGTGACAGATTGGACAGGTGTCAGTTATTCTGGAAGAGAGATGACTATGCTGGATGAGTAACGGGCATGTATTTGAAAGCAAGAGGAGTCCAGGAGACGCCTTGACTTCCAACATGAAAACCCATGAGACAATAGTGACCCGTCACTGAGACATGAATGCTGAAGAGGAGTTAGATCTAGCTTGAGCAATGAAGAAGCTACTTTCAGTCCTGAAGTGCCAAGTTTAAGGTTCTTGAAAGAATTCAAGTGCTGAAGTCTAGCAGACCATGGTCTTTGAGTCCATGGATAAATACACTGTGAAGACCATCTAGGATGGTGATTTGGTCTTAGGAATCATTGGAATATTCGGGGAGAGGACTTTTTCAATCTGAGTATTTTACAAGTGCCACTTCGATGATTAAGGACAGTTTGATCTGAAAACTCACAGCTGACGTTGCCAACTCTTGTGCCCAAAGTTGCTTATACCCAGTGCTCTTACCTCGAGCCTGCAATGTCCTGATCTGTTCCTCTCTCTCTTCTATCCTCTTTTCACTCAACCTGTTTTCCATCCATTCTCCAACTATTTCTCTACACAGTTGCCTTTGTACTTCTCTCTGACTTTTTCCAATTTTCAGCATTGATATTTTCCCCTTGCTCTTTCTTTTTCCATATTTTTGGCTCTCAATTTTTATCTCAGATTCTTCGGAGATTTTTCAGTTTATCTCTCCTCTGCTGTGTCTTACACTTGCTCCCCTTCCATTTATGTTCCTCCCACTTTACCTTGACCTCTGACTCTCAGTGCCACTCAACTTCTGTCTTTCTGCGTGATTTCATCCTCCAAGTTCTGCCCTCTCATCATCTCCAAAACTCTCCTCTTGGACTCTGATTACAGTCCCAGGGACCTCCAACTGGTCAGCTCTCCCACATAAACCTGACATGGCATGATGTTTCCCAGTTTCTCGTAACTATTCTGTGAATCTAACTGAAAATTATCTTGTATCTCAATCTGGAAGGGTAAGATTTTATATTCCTTTTGGAAAACTGGATCCATTCCTGTAACTGGTCACATATTTACACCTTATATACTTTCTCCATTTTCTCTTTTCATATTCCCTATCAATGGGTGCTCCACTTGCTTAGGAGTTCAGTTTCCTTTTCTCATTGTCTCTGTTCCATCTGAGAGCAGGTAAGTGCAGGTAGGAAAAGTGGGATCTGGCAGAGGCTTAGGACAGGAGATTGAAGGTAGGCTCTGCTTCCATGAAGACAAGAAAACAAAGATTTAATATGGAATTGACAAATTAAATGATAGTTACCTTGCCTATTATATGTCAGTAGTCTGGGCATACCTTCAAATCCTCTTACACTGTTCATTTGGAGAGGTGAGTACTCCAAGGACACTAAAGAGAGCAACAAGGAAATGATAGAACTCAGACAGTATCCAGAGAAGAGACTTGTTTGTAGGGATGCTTACATCAATAGGATCACACAGCATGTCCTTCTGTAACTGGCTTCTTTTTCTCAACATAATGTTTCTGAGATTCATCCTTGTGGTTACATATATCAGTAGTTCATTCCTTATATTGCTGAATAATATTGCATTTAATAAATATATCACAGTTTATTCCCTCTCTTATTGATGAAAATTTGAATTAGTTCCAGATTTTAGCTATTAGGAATAAAGCTACAATAACATTGTTGTACAAATCTTTGTATGAACATGTTTTCATTTCTTACAAAAATATACTTAGGAGTGGAACCGCTGGGTGGTAGGTTATGTTTAACTTTATAAGAGACTGCCAAACAGTTTTCCAAGGTGGTTATATCACTTTATATTCAAACCAGCAACATACATAAAGGAGTTCTAGTTGGTCCATAGGTCCCACTGCATTTGGTGTTGTCAGTATTTTTAATTTTAGTGATTCTAATAACCAAATGGTAGCTTCTTGTGGCTTTTCCCCAATGACTAATGTTCACTTCACTTATGTCCTTATTGGCCATTTTATATCTTCTGCGTGAAATCTCTTCAAGACTTCTGTCACTTTTTTAAAATTGGTGGTGTGTTTTTTTATTATTCATTCATAGGAATTCTTTATACATTTTCCATCATTCTATGTGATGAACCTTTTACTCTTTACTAATAACTGTTATGAATCCTTCCACCACCCATTCTCATTTCCACTATTCCCAGTAGTAGATGAATCTCTAAATATATTTTTTACATATTTTGTACTTTTTAATGCACATTTTATACTTTTAGCAACTGGTCTTCATTCAAAAGAATAAATATTATTATTAAATACATCAAAATGTTACATAAATGTATTAATACATGTCTAAAATATGTAATCTTTGAGTTATAAACACAAATTAAAGATAAATATTCATGGTATTCTGCAAAGCCATTCTGCAGTTTTTTCTTGCCCTGGTCATTTCCAAGGGAAAAAAAAAACCAACATTTAACAAATAATTAAATTTACTGTTGACCATTTGGCTTAAGGATGGAGACAGTTGTGTGTTGTAACTATTGTCAGAAATTTATTACTGCCCTTGGTTCTCTTCTTCCCTTTTTACTCCTCCCCTTTTCCTTTTCTTCTTTTCTACAAACACTATTTCCTCCACATTTTCTTCTGCATACAATTACTTCTTCCTCTCTTCCTCTTTTTTATTGTGAGTGAACTTTACAATAGTTCCTTCTTTTGACACATCAAAGATTTCCTCTTTGGACTTCTCTATCTCTGTATGTTACACGCTCAGTTGTGTCCGACTCTTTGCAACCCCTTGGGCTGTAGCCCGCCAGTCTCCTCTGTCCATGGGATTTTCCAGGCCTGATAAATGGAGCGGGTTGCCATTTTCTCCTCCAGGGGATTTTGCCGACCCAGGGATCAAACCTGGGTCTCCTGCATTGGCAGGCGGATTCTTTACTATCTAAGCCACCAGCGAAGTCCAAATAACACCAAACCCTTATCCTTTCCCAGGTCCACTGAATTCCTAACTCACGGTTACTGCTATCAGTTCTTCACCTTAATTCTGCCTCACTGTCACAGTGAGACCTCTCTCGGACTTATGTTCTGCCTTCTCGGTTGTCACAGCTGCCTGGTAATATTCTTGGGTTCCAGATCTGGTTGCCTAACTGGAGCCCAATCACACACTGCTGCTCTGGTTTCCCCATTTCCTGTTGCACCAAGAGCTCAATCCCCTGACCTCTGATCTCCTTTCTTAACAGATGAGAAAACAAGCTTCTGTCAAGTCAGAATTACCTTGTTCATGGTTTAATTGTGAGTTGAGCATCTCCTTTGTCTCTCCTTCATCAATGGTTTGGTAATAGAAGTTGTCACAAATCGCTGAGAAGAGAAAGGAAAGACAAGTAGAGATTTCAGATGGGCACCAGGAGTTGCATCTCACAGTTACACATCCAGTCATATCCTTGACTCCTACAGTTCAGGGAAAACCTTCCAGCCCTCAGGGAACCCTGGGCTTCAGTGGATCTCTCAAGTCCTGTGAAACTTGATGTTGCCCCTGTAATCTTACGGCTGTTCCACACTGAACACACCTCTCAAGGTTTAAAAAAGAATGGATAGTGGAAAATTGTAAACAGTGGTCAACTCCCTTTCCAAATGATCAGGAGACAATGAAAGCCAATTTAAAATAAATAGCATAGTCATTTCGACAATATTGATTCTTCCAATCCATGAACACGGTCTATTTCTCCATCTGTTTGTGTCCTCTTTGATTTCTTTCATCAGTGTTTTATAGTTTTCTATGTATAGGTCTTTTGTTTCTTTAGGTAGATATACTCCTAAGTATTTTATTCTTTTTGTTGCA